AAACTGGAGGAACAACACCTGGTGTTTCGCCTTGGAAGCTCACAGCCCAATGGCCTTAACATTGACTTCACCAGCTTCAAAATCCCTCCACCCCCAGCTTTAACCCATGTTCAGCCATCCCCTCCTGTCCTGCCCTAACATGTCCGTCTTCCTAGTCACCTATCCACTCCATCCTTCCCACAGACCAATCACAATAACCTCTGCCTACATCCACCTATCATCATCCCACCTACCCTTACCGCAGCCCCACCCCTCACCCTCTATTTATTGCCCCCTTCCCAGTCCTAACTAAGGGTTTTGGCCTGAAATGTTGACTTTCCTGCTCCTCTGATGCTGTCTGACCTGCTGTGCTTTTCCAGCTTCACACCTATTGACTCTTTCCCCTGGCCATATCAGTCTGTATCTTCCCTTTAGATAATACAGAAGATAGACACAGCACAGGTTGTTCACCATCCAAATTCCTCTAATTTCCTCGCCCAAACTATCTCACTTTTCATTGAAACTGTCACAACGCTTCTCTAAGATCTTGAGCTGAGGATTTTAAAACATCGTCTGGAAAATTTAGAGCAGCCAAACCCACATTCTGCCTCTTGCATTAATGCGCTCATAAAGTATTAGAAAATGCCTCCATTAGATTTTTTTACATGAGCTAATTAATGGCATAATTTCAGTAGATGAATTTTATTATACCTAAGAATGAACGATTGAGTCAGAAACCCTTGTAGCGTTTAAACAATATTTAGGCATTCACTTGCATTGCTATAGCCTCCAGGGCTATGGGAAAGTGCTGGAAAATGGAATGTGTAGTCAGATCTTTCTTGACAGACATGGACACAGTGGGCTGCATGGCCTCCTTTGTGCTATAAAGGTCATAGAATCTACAGTCACTACAATAGAGGTCAGCTAGGTCAATGTCATTGAATACGTGTTCCCTGATTGGAGCCGTTAATCCGGTCCAATCAGGGAGCCCTGTCTGACAGATATAAATAGGAGTGTCAGAGGTTCTGTTCATTCTGACAGCTGGCTCTGAGGAAGCTGGAACAATGTCAAGGATTTTCCATGTGTAAATAAAAGGTGACTTGGTGACAGGATACCAGCCTCTGTGGTGATTTTTCACCATGAGTCATATAGACTATGAGCTACAGAGTCTGAGTTTTTAAGATTCCATATGTATAGCTACTCCAATTACAGGTGAATATGTTGTCAGATAACAACAATAGCCAAGGTAAGATCACAATGGCAGAGACCCAGTTTTAACCCATGGCAAACCATCTAGTCCTTGGCAGCCTGAGGCCTGGGAGATTTCGGGTTCAGTGACAGGAGTTCCATCAGTCACTTGCCAGATATAATAGATGGTTGGAGGGCACATAGAAGCAAAATGTCAGATCGCAAGACACTAATGCTTGGGAGAAAGTGAGTGATTTCTAGCACAACGGTAAATCCTTGGGCAGCAAGGTTGGGGAAAATCAGGGACCCCATGGATACCAGAGGGTTAAATGAATCTTGTGGAGCTTGGAGGACAACCACAAGCTGCGCACATAGTTCTCCAGTTAAAATTGTTGTCTGTTCACAATTACAGCATCCAAGACCAATCTACATAATTAAAGATGGTCTCCACTTGGTGATTTCCCTCACATCTGCTCAGAAAAACAGGTTAAAATTGGATCATGAGCAAGGGCAGTGGGACTTCATCGCTTAATGTGGTTGTTATTATTTGCCCACCTAGTTTCAAATTAATTTCAACATTTGCCTTTGACACCATTTATGGGGAAAACTGAATTCCTTTGGTTTAAAACTTGTCATAGGTTACTAATAACATTTTGATTTTTTTATTTATTCATTCATTGGATGAAGGCATCACTGCCTAGACAGCATTTATTGCCCATCCCTAATTGCCCAGAGGGCAGGAAAGAATCAACCACATTGCTGTGGCTCTGGAGACACATGTAGGCCAGACCAGGTAAGGATTGCAGTATCCTTCCCTAAAGGACATTAGTGAATCAGATGGGTTTTTCCAACAATCGACAATGAATTCCTATGCATATTTTATGGGCATTAAGGTGAGTTTACAAGTGCTTTAAAAACCTAGCTTATTTTGACATATCAATAACAGAATAAGATGTATTGCAGTAATAACCAGCAGTGGAACTTTCTAACTTGCCAGGATATTGGTTGATAGTCAGGAATGTCTGCAATATTAAAATTTTATCTGAAAAAGCCCATGACACCCTCCTTTCAAAGATAACCCAGCTGCTTCTTTGTTTGGAGCAAGCTTTAGGAACTTCTGTATTTTCCAACTCAGAAGAAATGCAAATCTGGTTTGTGCTGTCTGACAAGCAGTCACCTAATGAATCCCACCAATGGAGGTGTATCATTGTCATCATTGATGTGGTCTACAGTGTGCCAGCCCTACACAGGCAGTTTCTATTACCAATATAGGTACCAGAATAAATAAAGATAATATTTAAAAAAGGACAGAATGGCTTTAAAGCAGGCATTGAATCACAACTAGAAGTGGTAAGGCGGCTAAGGCATTTACCCAGCCAAGGTAACAAATTCATGGTGAATTTAAAGTAATGCAGCTTTGCTTTCTGGGGCATGTGAGGTGACCATTGCAAATGCATGAAGGGTGAAATTCCCAGCAATCACACCACTGTTACTCTGTTTCTTACAACTGTTTGATCAAGCTATTTTCTTGAATTTCTCTTTGCGTTGCTTTGTAAAGTATGTTTGCAATTACTAAGAGCCAATTTTATTGATTTATTTTGATTGTTTAATGAAAGTTGGGCACTGTTCTGCACTCTTAGTATCAGAAGTAACTGCTCCCCTTCCTGAAGCATAAAAGTACACATTTATACCTGAAAACTTTAGAGAGGTTATGCCTTTTCATGCCTGGAAAAGGACAATATGTGAATACATATTTATGGTAATATTCATTTGCATTTATCCTGCATAGAATTTAAATTCAAATTAAACCAGCATCATCTTCAAGCTAAATTGTGTAAAGGTCAAACAAAAAATAGTTCATGTAAATGTTTGCTGTGCTTCCTCCATTGCCACTTAGCTGAATCAAACAAAATACTGCGGCTCTGTACCATAAGGAGGGTTACTAGGTAAACCATGGCAACCTTTAAGTAGATTCTAGGGAAAGTTGTTCCTTGATGAGTCTTCCATCGCGCATGGCAACCAGGCTGCCAGTGCTTCACAACACATCATCCACTGATTATTGATTATTGGGTCTGGGTGATAGGTTACGGTTTTCCTCTTCTAGACTGACCTGTTTCAAGGACTGCCTGTCATTGAGACACCTTGATGTATTCAATATTAATGCATTCTCATCAATGGTCACTGGTAGTGGTGGCTCTGCTGAGACTTTTGCTGTCAATCTTCTGATTGGAATGACAGCTTTCAGGGAAAATTAATTAAATGGAAACCTTGGTAGCATCCTCTTCATTGGTCTCCGCTGGCAATATGTTGCCTTTAAATCCCATTACAGGTTGAACTGGGATCAGATCCAGTTTCCTGCTCCAGCAATGGGACTTGGCCATCAGTGATAAAATTCAGCCCAATTGCTTTAGGTCTGTGACCTTTTGTCAAAAAAGTTCAGTTTGTTTTTCTCTCTCTACAAATGCTGAATGATTTGCTGAGAATTTCCAGCATTTTCTATTTCATTCAGTATAAAAAATGTTTACATAAATGCCAGATAATAATTGTAAGTAAAATATTTACATTCAATACTCACAAATACACAATTTCAATTGATATTGCACTTATTTGGCCTATTGTCCTTAAGCAGGAACATTGGTTTGGAATGCTACACAATCAGATTTAATAGCTTTTTCTTGTTTATCAAAGTAATAGGAAACATTTAACTTTATACAAATAACTGTACTGTAAAAAAAAACTGAATTGTAAATCTGCTGCCTTTTACCTTAACTGCGGCACTGCATTTTAACAACAATCAGATGGAAGGCTTCAAAGCAATTGTAAATAAGGAAAACCATTGACCATAATTATTTAGAAATAGAGCAAGCCTGAATGAAAAGTAAAAGCCTGTATCAATGCCTGGTAAATTACTGACATGTTAAAATTCTCCCAAAACCATAACTTAAAATCCTTTTGGAAATAAAAGGCAGCCTGTGCTGGACTTTTTGTAATAAATAGATTGTTATGTATAATTTCATTTTAAAGCTAAATTGTAACAACTTATTGATAAATCGATTCAGCCAGTTAAAGGTATCACCATACTATTAAGAATGATTTTCTTATGTAGAGTCGAAGTATTGACTTTACTTCCTCAACGATTGAATTCCACTATTGATTGCCATTGAATGTTACCTAAAAAGATTAACATTCAGGTCAACTGGAAAAGATTTATAAGGAAATGGTTGAAGTCAACTCGTCAGCGTTTGCTGTTAACATTTACGATTTTTCACAATAATTTATCCATATCAGTGAAGAGACTGCACTGTAATCATACAGATCGAATGAGGATTAAAACAACTCATTTTCTCTGTGGAAAATGTAATTGATACTAATGGAGTTCTGTGAGAGGGAGGAATGCAATTCTAGTATCAAGAAACAGCAACAAAAAAGTCAAATAAATAAATCTTTAAAGGATTGCAAATGTTCTTTCTTTAAGTCATTATGACTAATATATCTATGATAAAATCTTATTCACAAAAGTTCATTTTGTCTTTGTGCAAGTGCTAAAATGGGAATTGAAAGCCTGATTTATACCTTTTCTGGTTTTATTTCCATTGATAAATTAATAGAAGTATTGAGATATAATGCAGGTGGCCAATTTGCTTTCCTCCATTTCACATTATCAGAAGCTGAAAATGATCTGTAGTTGTAAGGAGGATCTTGTAAATTGCACAACAGCACTGTTACAAATCAGTTATATGAAACAATTTGTGCTGGTCCAGTACAGTTCTGGCTTTAATTTGATGCAAACAGCATGATGTTGTATGATGCTGATGATAAGTTGTTAGATTCAGTAAATTTGGTAAGTGATTTGAGGTTATTACAATCACATAGTCAGTTGTGCTCTGGCTTTGCAACAGTTGCAATAGATAAACATAACCAGCCTAATGTCAATTTTGACATTCTAAATTGTCCATGCAGCTGTACACTTCATTTTTAAGCTGTTTTACTTTGGGATAGTGCTGCCTGCTGCACCAGCTCTGCCAACTTCAATTTTAACAGATCTGCATGGCAATGAACAAGTTCTGACTACAGTGGAAAGTGGCATGGAGGTGTCAATACAATTCAACAATGCAGATTCCATATCATTGCAAGCAATTAGTCATCTCAACTCTGTGCCAGCAGGATAACAATGTCAAAAAATTAGGTATTCTCCTAAAAGAAATCGATTTATTTCAGTCAGTGCTGTAACATATGCTTATTAAAATGGTCACTGGATTAGTTTCACAAAATATCCATTTCCCAATACATTACTTGCAATGATAATGTCTTGAAACATACATTTTAAGTTATCCTGAAATAATTTTGTTATACTTTTGAGCATTAGCAATATTTAAAAATATAAATGGGTGGATATAGAAAAGTAGCCTATATTCTGGATAAAACCAATACATAAGTGTAGCTTTGGGAGGCTCTTGTGATGCGGTGGTAGTGTCTCCATCTCTGAGCCAAGAAGCTTGGGTTCAAGTTCCACCAGCTCCAAAGGTAGGTCATAATATCTCTGAACAAGTTGATTCAGAAGAAATGCAAAACAGAAATGTCAAGCTTCACAATGAAAGGTACAGAACATGAATCTCTAATTCAGTAGAGTGCCATGTATTTTCTTAAAATATTTTAACAGGGTAAAAGATCTTCAATCAAACATATGTGGATTCAGACACAATACAGATGACTAAACAACATTGGGTACAGATGTCCTATATACAGTATGTAATATTTACAGATTTTGGCATAATTAAAAGCCTTATGAAGATTTGTTTTTCTGTTTAAAATGAAATGATTTTGGCTCCACAAATACAGGTGCTGGAATAATGATGGAATGAGACTTCTACAACTGACACATTACTCCCACAACCACATAACACCTTCTATGGTCAGAGGGTTTGAATGAATTATTGGGATAAATGAGGCAATGCCAACAAAAATTTGGATGGTTGACATCATTCTGTCAGCTTATTATATCCATGCAGAATAGGAAAAATAGATACCTGACCCCATTTCCAGTGGAAATGGCATCAAATAAAACTGCCATGGGCTGGAAAACTGATGGAACTGAATACCACCTAAATTTTTGCTCCTCCTGCAACATTTGCCTGGAGCCAGAAAATTGCTTGAAATAATATGGAAATTCAGAGTATTTCACCAGAGGCACCTGACAAACTAAAATTCTGTTCTATTTTAAGAGGGTAATTTTCATTGGTTGAAAATATCTTGAAGAAGCTGCAACAAGTTTAACAAACAAATAAAAGCTGCTGACTGGAATGGATTTTATGCTAATCAATACGAGGTTATGGGATTTTATTCTCTATTGTCTTCAAAACCTAGCACTAAACACTCAGAGGTCAAAAATAGTGTAGGGTGTGTGCAGAGTATAGTTCCTTTTAATTTGCTACTTCAATATTTTTTAAACTATCAGTACTAACTTTCTGTGACCCTTTTTGCTTCTCCTGTTATCTTTCTCTTCATCTATCATCTCCTAAAGTTGTCGATTTAACTGACAACAGTTCCAACAGCAGTACTTGCCTTATTTAAATATCTATTTTAAGATTTAATTATTTATGATTATTCTTTAATGTATTGTAATCAGACTGGTAATGTTCCTGATGTCCTCATATTATTCACAGCACTGACACAGTTTTGATACCACTTATATATGGAGTGGGGTAGACAGAATCCAATTATACTGGTGGTGGTGGTGGGTACGGGGAGGGTTGGTAGGGTTGGTAGGGTACAGGAGACACACCCAGCCTCAGTGGTCATGCATATTATGCAATTTATGGTTTCCAATACCAGTGGTAAATCTCAGAGTTAAGATATACATTTTAAAAGGTAGCCGTTATGCTTGCTACATTCATATGAAATCTGCCAAAAAGTCTGCCAAATACAATTCCACTTTACGGATGCGATCACACAAAAATCTAGGGTAGATTGCCACCAGTATTGTTTCTAATCCTCAGATTAGTTCTGCTGTACTCCTACTTTTACAGCCTTTAATAAGGTTATTAATGAGTTATTCCAGCTTTTAAAGTTTTTCAAAAGCTTTCTAAATATTTGTTTTCTTCCTTGTGACACTGCATCTAGTTGAATATCTATTCAAATGAGCTTAGACTGGTTATACAAACATGAGTTCTTTCAAGTAGTACCAATCAAATGAGAACTAATTTACATCTGAAAATGAAGACTGCCTTCTTAAGTTACAGATTGCTCTTTCATTCTCTCAAGTTTTTTTTAAGCCACTGTGTTACCTTTCATCTTGTAAAGCATTCTATAACTGAAATGAATTTTATATGAATATTTTGATGTTCTTTCAGACAGCAGCAGATTCATCATACAAAATGTTCCAGAATCTATAATGTTATCTGGAATTGGGCAGGAATCTAGTGTAGAATAAAGCAATATTTGAGCTGTGAGGCTTATACTTCTTTCAGCCACTGCATTCCACCAGAACCACTTCACTACACTGTGCAAAAAGGAGTAGGAGAGGAAAGTGACGTGCAACCACTTCTTGAAACTGCCTGTAGGCTGTAGCACCCAATGATAATGGGCTTGAGATGATCCATGGAGAGAGAAATGGTTGTAGACATCCCTTCATTCTCCCCCTTAACATTTAGCTGCTGAATATTATACCAGTCAAGACCAGAATTTAGTTTATTTAATCTTCAAGATTTACTCTTTACCAGTGCTCCTAGTCCCTCAGCTGTTGGAGTAGTGGTCCCATTGCAACATTGCCAGGAAATTTTCACCACAGTAATAGTCAGAAATAGTCTAATTTTAGGATCAGGAACTTGCCTGCATCCCAGTCTAGGATACTGAGTCAGAGCTTCTACATATATTGAACAGGCATGTAGATGTCTCGCCCACATGCGCACCACCAGGAGGACAGCCCTAGCCAATTACACAAAATGAGAACTTACATTTTATGATCGGAGGTTTCAGATTTTGGTATTAAAGTTGAATAAATTATAACCTGAAAATCAAGTGTAAACGGATTTACATAGAAGGGAAGTCAACCCTGAAGTGATCTTACCTTTCCAGGAATAATTTGAAATGATTGTTATATTACTTAGTTTTGTATTTGTTTGTTTTTGTTTTTGTTTCACAAACAGAAGGTGCCAAAATAACCGGAGAGCTTATTCTGCCAATATTACAGCTTTGTACTGCTCATCTATTCACTTAAATCTGATAGGTTCTCTTCTACAGTATTACTAGGATTTACTACTTCATAATGTTTTCTTTACAACTTCCCAAGCCAAAAGATAGTAGAAAATAAATTCATTACAACACGTGCTGAAAGATTTTGCTATAAATCTCAATTTCCAATTCAGAAGGACTATAATGGTTCAGTTTTAAATACATCTACGTCAACATTAGTTTATAATATAGTCGAACTTTTAACAGTTTGAATGTCCACTTTATGTAACAATAAGCAAACCTCTTACAGCAACATTTAAACATATTTTGAACAACAAATAAATATCTTAGTTCCACTATTTACACAACTTTAAATTTGGTCACGTCCATACCACATGCAACTATAAAGAGAAACTGAAAAAAAGTACTACAGAAAGGTTAGAAGTCACCAAGGTGAGTGGTCACTAGCAGGCGCAGTTCTGCTGCATTGATGGTGCGTTGTCTGTCAACCTTGTGTGCTTGCTGCCACTGGCCATTGAGGGATCAGAATCCAGATTTTCTGACATTTTCTCACATATGATGTCTACTAGACGTTCAAAGACCTGCTTGACATTGATGTTTTCTTTGGCACTGACCTCAAAAAATTCAAATCCTATAGAAAAGAGAGAGAAACGTGCAGGGTGAACTCACAATTTATTTAAGGTTACCTACCCCCACCTTCTCTCCACTAGCCATCCCACTACTCTATTCCAATGTTCATTTCATCCCTCCAAATGGGAAAAATAGACAAATGGCTACAAACGTTGTCCAGCAGATTGATGAACACTTTGCGCCAGATTTGCAAAGAGGAGTTCAGGGGCCCAAAGCTCAGGTGAATTCTGGACTCCAACCATGTACCTCAACTTCATCACTCTCCTGACACTATTTGTAAATTCAATTAACCACCTTGAGTTCAACACCCAGTTCGTGGCAGCATACATTTCTGGGAGGTGGGAGCTACTTGCCTGGAATCAGATGCAAAAGGAAGTATCCAGGTAACCAACATATTGGGTTCTATAAATTTTTGCCAGATACAGCAGACAGTTCCCTACGAGGTTTAGAAGATCAGGAGATGAAAGGTGGTGGAAAGTGGCCATGGTTATCAGTCCAAAGTGCAGAGCTTGACCTTGTGATCTAGATGGCAACACATGAAGTTGGACACCACGGAAAATCTGACAGCTATTCACTAATGTGTACCAGATTATTCTGGCTTGCCAGAGAAAACATTTAAAATTCCAATTATGAATGCACAGGTTCTTAACAAGGTCCTAAAGAAGCCTCATAGGCTGTTAACAACCTGCAAGTGAATTTCCCATTTAACATTTCTCACCAGCCATTTAAAAATCTGCAAAGGGGTGGGCCGTCTTGTGATGCAGAGGTAGCTTCCCTCCTCCTGGCCTGGGAGGCCCAGGCTCATGTCCCACCTCCTGCAGAGTTGTGTAATAATACCAGTGAACAGGAAAAATAAGTGAAATCTAGAACTGTAGCAACAGTTTCCAGGAACATAAATTTACTATCACAGCCACTGGTAAAATACATTCCTTCATATCAGTTTATCCACAATGTATGGCAAAAAGCTAATTTCAACGTAGATAAGTGTGAAGTAGCACATTTTTGTAGAAGACCATGTGCTCTTAATTATCTAAAAAGGGTAGAGAAACAATAAGGATACAGATTCACACGTAAAGACACAATGAGCCAAATGGTCTCATTCTGAGCAGTAAGAATCTAAGAATAAAGTTAATAAAGCTATAAAGGTGCAAAACCAGCACTCATCTATTTCCATAGGAATTGAATGGAAAAGTAAAGAAGTTCTGTTTAACTTGAATGGAACTTTGGTTACACAACAAATGGAATCCATGAACAGTTCTGGCTTCCATATGTAAAAGAACAGTACAAAAACAATTTCATAGAATGTTATACCAGTCAGGAAAGTTGAACAAGCTATAAAAAGAGGAGTCTGATTTAACAGAGATCTTTAAGGTTATGAAAGAGTTTAAAGGGTAACTGGATCAGCCTTATAAAGCAAAGAACTGCAGATGCTGAAGATCTGGAGAAACTCAGTGGGTCTGGCAGCAACTGTTTGAAGAAAGTAGAGTTAACATTTTGAGTCAAGTGACTGTTCATCAGAACTCAGTTCTTCTGAACTTCTGATGTGGAGTCTCCAGACTCTTAGTCTTAGATTCTTAGAGCTCAAAATAAGATCAATTGGTGCATTGTGCCTTTATATGTGAAGATTCTCCCTCTCAAATTGCAGGGTGAATTATATCATATTATAGTCACTATCCCCTAAGGGTTCCCTCACCTTAAGTTCCCTAATCAAGTCTGCCTCATTACACATCACCAAATCCAGAATTGTCTGTTTCCTAGTGAGCTGTACCACAAGCTGCTCCAAAACACCGTCTCGTAGAGATTCCACAAATTACTTTTCTTGGAATCCACTACCAACCTGATTTTTCCAGTCCACCCACATATTGAAGTTTCCTGTGATTATTGTAATAGTACGTTTCTTACATGCCTTTTCTATCTCCCGATTTATTTTCTGCCCCACATCCTGGCACCATTCTGCTGGTTGGTCTGTATGTCGAAAGCTCAGTAGCATTTTGAATACACAATTCACAGAATCACAGAAGTGTTACATCTCAATTTTTCAGCAGCAGAGGGAGGGGCGACAGCGAGGACCAGGCGGCTGCCGGGAATATATTTGGGCAGCGGCTTTGACCTCATCCAACAGGCACGAGATATTTGCTCCCTGTGTGGATGAGGAAAAGGGCTGCGGGGAGGATGAACCAGCTCACCACGGCACCATGGTGCAGAAGGCCATTCAAGAGGGGGGAGCAAAAAGACAAGTGGTAGTTATAGGGGGTTCTATAGTTAGGGGGATAGATAGTATCCTTTGCAAGCCGGATCAGGAGTCCCGCATGGTGTGTTGCCTGCCCAGTGCCAGGGTGCAGGACAATTCTGACCGGCTTGAAAGGATATTGGAGCAGGAGGGGGAGGATCTAGTTGTTGTGGTCCACGTTGGGACTAACAACATAGGCAAGGCTAGGATGGAGAACCTGTTTGGGGATTATCAAGCACGAGGAACGAAATTAAGGAACAGGTCCTCGAGGGTCATAATCTCCGGATTACTGCCCGAGCCACGTGCAAGTTGGCTTAAGGATAAGAAAATTAGGGAAGTAAACACGTGGCTAAGGGAGTGGTGTGGGAAAGAGGGGTTCCATTTCATGGAGCATTGGCATCAGTTTTGGAACCAGAGGGATCTGTACTGATGGGACGGTCTCCACCTGAACCGATCTGGAACCAGTGTCCTAGCGAAAAGGATAAATAGGGTGGTCACTAGGACTTTAAACTAGTGAGTTGGGGGGAAGGGAAAGGGAAAGGGAAAACAACAGGGAGTATGATGGTAAATAAAAAGGTAAGCAGCAGGTTAGCATGTGTGCAGGAGGGTTTAAGTTCAAGGCAGACTATGAAAGAAGCAAAAAGAAAGGATAACTCAGGAGATATTATTAGAGATGTTGGAAATCATGAGGGTAAGAAAGTTAGCATGAAGGCACTTTACCTGATAGCTCGTAGCATTCGTAACAAGGTTGATGAGTTAACGGCACAAATCATCGCGAATTAATACGATTTGGTAGCCATTACGGAGACATGGTTACAGGATGGTCACGACTGGAAGTTAAATATCCAAGGGTACCAGACTATTTGGAAGGACAGACAGGAAGGTAAGGGAGGTGGTGTAGCTCTGATATTCAAGGACGACATCAGGGCGGTGCTGAGAGATGATATAGGTACTATGGAGAATGAGGTTGAATCCATTTGGGTGGAAATTAGAAATTCTAAGAGGAAAAAGTCACTGATAGGCGTAGTCTATAGGCCACCAAATAATAACATCACATTGGGGCGGGCAATAAACAAAAAAATAACTAATGCCTGTAAAAATGGTACGGCAATTATCATGGGGGATTTTAATCTACATGTAGATTGGTCGAACCAGCTCGGTCAGGGTAGCCTTGAGGAGGAGTTTGTTGAGTGTATCCATGATAGTTTTCTTCAACAGTATGTAATGGAACCGACGAGGGAGCAAGCTATCCTACATCTGGTCCTGTGTAATGAGACAGGAATAATTAATGACCTCGTAGTTAGGGATCCCCTTGGAAGAAGTAATCACAGTATGGTTGAATTTAGAGTACAGATGGAGAGTGTGAAGATAAAATCCAATACCAGGGTCCTGTGCTTGAACAAGGGGAACTACAATAGAATGAGGGAGGACTTGGCTAAAGTAGACTGGAAACAAAGATTTTATGGTGGGACAGTTGACGAGCAGTGGAGGACTTTCAAAGCAATTTTTCAAAGTGCTCAGCAAAAGTATATTCCAGTGAAAAGGAAGGACTGTAAGAAAAGGGGTAATCTGCCATGAGTGTCTAACGAAATAAGGGAGGCTATCAAATTGAAAGAGAAGGCATACAAAGTGGCCAAAAACAGCATGAAACTAGAAGATTGGGAAAACTTTAAAGGTCAACAGAAAGCCACAAAAAGAGCTATAAAGAAAAGGAAGATAGAACATGAGAAAAAACTAGCACAGAATATAAAGACAGATAGCAAAAGTTTCTATAAATATATAAAATGAAAAAGAGTGGCTAAAGTAAACGTTGGCCCTTTAGAGGATGAGAAGGGGAATTTAGTTATGGGATATGATGAAATGGCTGAGGCATTGAACAGGTATTTTGTATCGGTCTTCACTGTGGAGGACACTAATAACATGCCAGTAATTGACAAAGAGATGAAGGTAGATGAGGACCTGGAAACAATCATTATTAGGGAAGAGGTAGTGTTGGGCAAGCTAATGGAGCTAAGGATTGATAAGTCTCCTGGCCCTGATGGAATGCATCCCAGGGTACTGAAAGAGATGGCGGGAGAAACAGCAGGTGCACTAGCGGTAATTTTCCAAAATTCGCTGGACTCTGGGGCAGTCCAAGCAGATTGGAAAACAGCAAATGTGACGCCCCTGTTTAAAAAGAGAAGTAGACAAAAGATGGGGAATTATAGACCCGTTAGCTTAACCTCTGTAGTTGGGGAAGATGCTTGAGTCTGTTATCAAGGAAGAAACAGCAAGGCATCTTGATAGAAATTGTCCCGTTGGGCAGACGCAGCATGGCTCATGAAGGGCAGGTCATGCTTGACAAATCTTTTGGAATTCTATGAAGACATTATGAGCAAGGTGGACAACGGGGACCCAGTGGATGTGGTGTACCTCGATTTCCAAAAGGCCTTCGACAAGGTGCCGCACAAGAGGCTACTGCGTAAGATAAGGATGCATGGCATTAAGGGTAAAGTATTAGCATGGATAGAGGATTGGTTGACTAATAGGAAGCAAAGAGTGGGGATAAATGAGTGCTATTCTAGCTGGCAGTCAGTGACTAGTGGTGTGCCTCAGGGATTGGTGTTGGGACCGCAATTATTTACAATTTATATGGATGATTTCGATTTGGGGACTACGTGTAGGGTGTCAAAGTTTGCAGGTGACACTAAGATGAGTGGCAGAGCAAAGTGTGCAGAGGACTGTGAAACTTTGCAGAGGAACATAGATACATTGAGTGAGTGGGCAAAGGT